ACGACGAGTCATCAGTAGGGTAAAAACTAACCTGTCTCACGACGGTCTAAACCCAGCTCACGTTCCCTATTGCGGGTGAACAATCCGACGCTTGGCGAATTCTGCTTCGCAATGATAGGAAGAGCCGACATCGAAGGATCAAAAGCGACGTCGCTATGAACGCTTGGCCGCCACAAGCCAGTTATCCCTGTGGTAACTTTCTGACAACCTCTTGCTGAAAACCTTCAAGCCAAAAGGATCGATAGGCCGTGCTTTCGCAGTCCCTATGCGTACTGAACATCGGGATCAAGCCAGCTTTTGCCCTTTTGCTCTACGCGAGGTTTCTGTCCTCGCTGAGCTGGCCTTAGGACACCTGCGTTATTCTTTGACAGATGTACCGCCCCAGTCAAACTCCCCGCCTGGCAGTGTCCTCGAATCGAATCAGGCTGGAGGTAGGTTGACGAACGCGTACTCCGAAGAACCAACGACGGCAGCACAAACGCGTAAACCGTCCGTACGAACCGACGAAGTCACGAAGCACGACGATACGCCACTCCGTGCCCTTGGCTCGAGAATACCGTGACAGCCGCCGCCACGTGAGCGAACGGCGCACGCGTTTCGCCTTACCGAGTAAGTAAAGAAACGATGAAAGTAGTGGTATTTCACCGGCGATGTTGCCATCTCCCACTTATGCTACACCTCTCATGTCTCCTTACAGTGCCAGACTAGAGTCAAGCTCAACAGGGTCTTTTTCCCCGCTAATTTTTCCAAGCCCGTTCCCTTGGCAGTGGTTCGCTAGATAGTGGGTAGGGACAGTGGGAATCTCGTTAATCCATTCATGCGCGTCACTAATTAGATGACGAGGCATTTGGCTATCAGTAAGGCGGGCAGGCAACTGAGGTTGCTCGGAGCGCAGCTCCCTGGAAACCCTCTGTCATCATTCCGCCTCCTCCACCGGCCTGCAAAGACCCATGAGGTTTCAGAATGAACGAGATGAGACCGCACCGACCTGGTTCCCCACTATCGTTTTAGCCGCCGGCGGGTTCGACGGCGTAGTGCGTCAAGTTTTCGGGTGCCCATGCGTTCTAATTTGGCCCCTTTGGTAGTCGAGGTTCGCCCGTCGGTTTCCCTTCAGACCTTCCTCTTGCGTTCGAAAAGAAAACTGAACCGTTTTGAAGGCTTGTGCGGTTCAAGATAAAGTGTTAATGGTTGGAAAATTTCACTAAAGTGTATTAGGCTATCTTGTGTCAACAAGGCGCCTTTATGTTCAACTTGAACCTGATGTTATGCACACTCATGGTTCTTACTGCGTTCAAGTACTCCGTGAGTCAGCTGTGGTTAGCCTCGTACGTTGGATACTACCGTCGATGAAGTCATTCGCCATCTCAATTGATGAGCGAAGAGCAATCATTGATAGTGTTCTGCATAACGACTTGGAATAAATTCCTAGACGCCGCAGGCCATTGACCGTAGTCCTGGGTAGTGCCCCTCTCGCACCAATGACGATTGGGATCACTTCCACTTCTACGTCTCCGAAGATGTCGCGGAGAGGGTTCTCCAGTATCGAGTATTTGGCCACTTTTTCCTCGTGGGCTTCCTTTAGCGTGTTTGTACCCTCGTAGCGGACTGTGTAGTCGACCACTTGGGCCCTTCCCTGGTCTACTACGACCAGATCCGGTTTCAACATGCCATTGGACACGCGGAAAGTTGACTCGCGGAGTAACTCCAGGTTGCGCCGCTTCTTTGATACTTCTGACTCGACGAGGTTACCAATCTCGTCGTGTCTCTTTATCACTCGCGGCTTCAACTCTGGACATCCTCCAATAATGTGAGATAGGGATTCCGGCCTATTCTCACATACGCGGCATAGGTGGGACAGGTGATCGTGTCCAGCCCGAATGAGCGTCGTCCTGTTCCCGTACGTATTGGTACGCATGCGTAGGGCATCGATCATCCTACCGCTAGATAGAAGATCGTTCCTGGTCAACCACTCATTGGATAGCCTATCTTTAAACTCCTCGACTCCATCGCCCTGGCACGGTAGCCCTTTCCAGGAGGAATACTCCTTGTCAATGGCGCTTCGCTTCAGTTTTGCGACGGCTTCTGTGGAGGTCGGCATCTGGATTCGTAGCAGTTTAGCTGCTTTTTCCGCCTCCGCGGACCGCACAGATGACATTCCGACGTTTCGGACTACGGGGTCTGTAGACTGCCTCATCCTCACGACGGACTTGATTACAGCAAGCTGAATATCAGTTGTCATCCGGGTCACGCCTAGGCCACCTTCCTTCTTGCGCGTATATAGTAGATACATAGTGGTACTTTCTGGCAGATGGAAGATTTACGAACAACGTTCCGGATTTGTTGGTCCGCATCTTCTAACGCCGTCTTGGAAGGTGGATTTTGCACCATTCCGTACCTGTTCTGGGATACACATACTCGAATATCAGCTTCAGTTTCTGTTCGGGCTTGAGACTAAGTCTTGCCGCCCTTTTGCAGCAGAAACGAATTCCTTCGCGTTGTCTTTGCTAGAAATTCCTCCTTTCCAAGGAGTGAAACTGACACCGAGGTAACGGATCGCTTCGTCTGGGTCCACATAATTGACTTCCTGATCTTTGATCTTAAGCTTGGGGTCCACGATAGCCCAAGTTTTATGTAGCGGTTTAACCGTGAACGCGCTACACTTGGCTATCGAGAGGTTCATGCCTAGGGCGCTGAAATATTCAGACACAAGTTCGATGTCCTCTACGGCGTCCCCTTCAGATTTACTGATAAGAATCAGATCATCCGCGAACGCCAGGACCGACACATTGCGTCCTCCTAGGACAATTCCCTTTCCTTCCCGCTGATCGAGGTATGTCAATGGGTCGACGACTGCGTTCCAAAGAAGTGGGCTAAGAGGATCGCCTTGCTTCACGCCTCTCTCAGACTGCTTTATTTCTTCGGTCGTAGATGGTAAGACCGTCTGACAATCCTGGTATACGTAATCGACGTATTCAGCGATATAAGGGGCCACTCCAAGCCTTCTGAGCGCCGGTACTAATGCACCATGTGGCACTGTGTCGAAGGCTTTGGAAATGTCAAGTATGGAACAAGTTCCACCTTGTTCCTCCTTCATCGCTTTCAACGTTTGGCGAAAGAGGGAGACGTTCTGAGCCGCTCCCTCGTCATGCGTGAATCCTTTGTGCTCGGCTTAGCTCGATGTTTCCCCTAAGAGATTCATCGATCACCCCCGAGAACAGTCTGGCTAGGATTGAGCTGACAGTAATCGGCCGCCAGCTGGCTGCCACTGTCAGATCCTTGCCATCTTTTGGGATCAGCGTTGTTCTGTTACGTTTCCAGGATTCGGGGTAAAACCCAATCCCCAAGCAGATATTAAAGATCGCAGTCAGAAGAATGCGCGCTGTTCGGCGTATGTCCTTCTTAGCCACTTTGTCTGGCCCCGCAGCAGTGTGCGTTTTCAGGCGTCGGTATCTTTTTTCTACCGTTCCGAGCTGTATCGGGTTAATATCGACGACGCCCACCCTTGTAGCTACGGTCTCTTCCCAATCAGGTGGGAAGAATGTGGTTTCTTCAACGCCCCAGAGTCCGTCGTTATATAGGTCTCTTACCTGATCACCCGGAGGTAGTTCAGGTTGGCGGCGTTGTTCGATATCTGAGAGCCGATCCTCCACTACTAGCGTAGCTAGTTGTTTCGGTTCTTTCTCCCAGAGTTGTTGTACCGTAGCATACTCGTGTTGGCGTCTTTTGTCTCTACTTCCCCTAGCTCTGTGGTTAGCGTTTGCGGCCTTACCTCTCTGGCCGTTTCGGGGCAGATTGGGTTTGCCTCCCGCTAACTCGACGGTGAGTTCGTTGACGACGTTTTCGAGTTGTTTTACGAGTGGGTCAGATACGCTTATGACATCTTCAGCAGATCGAAAGCTCCCCGCAATTGCAGTTAACCTGACTGCCAAAGGCTGTATTTTAGCGTCCTTCGCCATCTCGTCATGGTGTTTGGCAAGTGTTCTGGTCGCCGAAGCTATCATACACTGCCTCCATCTCTTCTCTTCGTCGTCATACGATTTCTGTACTTTCACCTGAGGCTTCAAGATCTTATTTATTGGCGATTCTTTTTGCAGCTTTTTGTCTGATTCCCAAGTGAGCGGGGGGTACTGCTCTGTCGCTCGTTCGAGACGCTGGCCCGTTCGCCGGTTCAATCAGGCCGAGCAGACGACGCTTGTCGCTGATCTGCCTTTGTGTTTTCCCCGGGAACTGCGACATCAAGAGCTTGTTAATGTGTCTTTGTCCCGCATACTCTTGGTTTAGTTGGCGCAGTTCTGCTCCTCTTCCTCTGACCAAATCTTTGACCTGACGCCAGCATTCGTCTTCCTGGGAGCGGCTGCGTCAGCTAACCGCTTCTGGTTTCTGATTGCTGGGTGAGCATGCCGTTCATGCATCGATAGGCCAACTTTGGTAGGGAATGATGAGGAGCAGGCTTCGCACGTATAACCAGTTTCTGCGGGACGACCTAGTGGTCGGCATGATCGATATGGTTCGAAATTCCCGATGTTGTCGTGCTCTTTCTGTCACAGTGCGGACATTCCCAGTACGTTGTTACTTCTGGGTTGCGTCTCAGATACGTGCGTTTTAGCGTCTTTCGCGCTAGGAAGGACTGCATAACCCTCCCTGCGCGAGCGCATAGCGAGCAATTGTACCTCTCCGCAGGGTGCTTAAATGTGATAGTAGTTAGTGCGGCCTCGCATGGGTCTCCGGAGCCCGAGTCGGTGGGAGACTCAGAGTTTCCAGGAGAACTGCGTTCCGGCCCCTCAGTGGTCTGCCTGACTGTCTCAACTCCACTAGCAATTGTACGTGAAGTCGAGCACTGATAGCGAGAATCTGAACCCACTTCGAGAGCTTCACCAATCATTGTTGAATCGTCTCCAAATACGTTTCGAGCTTCGTCGCTTTCTGCACTCCAACTCGCTCCGTACGCGCTGCTGCCACCACCAATCCGAACGGCAGTTTTTTGGTCAGGTGGTAATCCCGTACAGCGCTTATCCATTGCATATTTCGTTTTCCCGAGACAATCATCCACTCACAGGGTCGGGACGCCCCGCGAGGCTTTCAGGTCGCGCTCTACTGACCTGCCCTTTGAGGACCTTTGACATGGGTGCGCTGGTGTGGTGTGTTCTAGTCCTCAGCGTCTTATGATATAGCAAGTAGCTACCGACGTGCGGGTAGTACCAGCGCCACCCAGCTGCTATTTCAAATCTTGTCCTAATCGCGATCCTTAGGGATGCGATTATCGTCGACGGCGGATACAGACCGGTAAGGTGTATTCCGCTCGTTCAATTTTGGTAAAATTACCGTCTTCTGGTAGCGAACCCTTTATAGAGCAACCGCACTTGCCCATATTGGTCGGTCCGTTCGCTTGCAGACACTGTTTCCCAGATCTTACCGACCAAGAGTCTGGTGGTCCGCGGTCTAGTGAGCTGTCGAGGCATCCTCCTTCCAGGTTTATTACCTGGAATGTATAGGATTCAACCTGCAGCAGACCTGTGCGGGTTGTTGTTCAATTTAAGGCCCCCTATACCGAGTGTTCTAGTATTTAAGGGAAGCCTTCTTCCTTGTCTGAATTTTTTTTTGCAGCCAAAAAGGCCCCTGGACACTACTAGAGTGACCAAGAGGCCCATATTTTGGTGTTATTTCCGACAAGTGTGGTTTGCCTTCTTTATCTTGTGGGATCCTCTAGGAGAGGTAAACCAATAAGGCCGGTATTCTTAGGGACCAGTCGACTCAACTTGTTCTTTGTCCTCTCCTAGGCGGAGGTGACGAACACGTTTTGTCGTTTTAATCCGGTTACCCTTGATACCTGGACCCTCTATGGTTGTTTGGTATTGTGCTTTACATCCATATTTGTTTGAAGCCTTTTAGCTGGTCAAACGAGTTCGTTTGTTCTTAGACGATACATCGCTTGTTGGTATCTCACCGACGATTTACCGTAGCAAGTTGGATACGAGTCAATCAGAGCCGACACTGATATCTCGCCCTGCTCGATAAATCTCCCCATGTTAGCAACTTTGGTTTTCTCTAGCTAATAAGACCAGAGCATACTCAAAGAGGCTTCTGAGGATCTGGCCTTTGCCCGCAAGGATCCCATTCGCATCTCTCTTGCTCTGATCGAAAAACGATAGTTCTACGTTTCGGTTATAAGACAACAACTGTCGTCGTCGTCGTATTCTCACTCGGAATGAGGAGAGATGTCGCATAGAGAGTCATAGTTACTCCCGCCGTTTACCCGCGCTTGCTTGAATTTCTTCACGTTGACATTCAGAGCACTGGGCAGAAATCACATTGAGTCAACACCCGCAGGGGCCATCTCAATGCTTTGTTTTAATTAGACAGTCGGATTCCCCCGGTCCGTGCCAGTTCTGAGCTGACCGTTGAATGGCGGCCGAAGAGGACACCAGAACGCCCTTGCGAGCGCACTCTGGGCCTCGCAGCAAGACGGTTCCGCGGAGGCCAAGGCACGGTACCGAGTTCGGATCCGCAATCCTACCGCACACGCGCGAACGCATACGACAGAACGTTTCACTCGCCCAGGCCCGGCACGTCAGCCGCGACCCGCTTCCCTCGCCAGCCCGACACGCCCGATCCTCAGAGCCAATCCTTATCCCGAAGTTACGGATCCAATTTGCCGACTTCCCTTACCTACATTATTCTATCGACTAGAGGCTCTTCACCTTGGAGACCTGCTGCGGATATGGGTACGAACCGGCGCGACACCTCCACGTGGCCCTCTCCCGAATTTTCAAGGTCCGAGGGGAGACCAGGACACCGCTGCAACTGCGGTGCTCTTCGCATTCCAAACCATATCTCCCTGCTAGAGGATTCCATGGAACTCGAATGCTTATGCAGAAAAGAAAACTCTTCCTGGTCTCCCGACGGCGTCTTCGGGTCTTTTTGGGTTACCCCGACGAACTCTCTTGCGAGGGCCCGACTATTGTACGGTTCCGCTGCCGGGTTTCGGAATAGGAACCGAATTCCCTTTCGCCCGACGGGCGTGTTCTTTATATATACACACATACATACATATATTTATAAACAACGCCACATCAACATCGGCTTTCGCCTAGGGCTTAGGATCGACTGACTCGTGTGCAACGGCTGTTCACACGAACCCTTCTCCACGTCAGTCCTCCAGGGCCTCGCTGGAGTATTTGCTACTACCACCAAGATCTGCACCGACGGCGGCTCCAGACGGCCTCACGGCCAGCCCTTCTGCGCGCACCGCCGCGACCCTCCTACTCGTCAGAGCTTCATGGCCGATCCGTTTTTACGCGGATCGAGACCGCACATGCCGCTGACGGCCGAGTATAAGCACGACGCTTCAGCGCCATCCATTTTCAGGGCTAGTAACTTCGGCAGGTGAGTTGTTACACACTCCTTGGCGGATTCCGACTTCCATGGCCACCGTCCTGCTGTCTTAAGTTACCAACGCCTTTCATGGTATCCCATAAGCGTCGATTTAGGCGCTTTAACTCGACGTTTGGTTCATCCCACAGCGCCAGTTCTGCTTACCAAAAATGGCCCACTTGGCACTCTGATTCGATTCTCGCAGCTTCATTAGTTCGAGCAAGCCGGAGATCTCACCCATTTAAAGTTTGAGAATAGGTTGAGGTCGTTTCGACCCCAATGCCTCTAATCATTCGCTTTACCGGATGAAACTCGTCACAGACGAGCGCCAGCTATCCTGAGGGAAACTTCGGAGGGAACCAGCTACTAGATGGTTCGATTAGTCTTTCGCCCCTATACCCAGTTCCGACGATCGATTTGCACGTCAGAATCGCTACGGACCTCCATCAGGGTTTCCCCTGACTTCGTCCTGACCAGGCATAGTTCACCATCTTTCGGGTCCCAGCGTGTACGCTCTTGGTGCGCCTCTTCTCGTAATGAGAACGAGACGCCCCGGGAGTGCGGAGCGGCCGCTTTATAGACGTGCCGCCCATCTTCCCTAAATCCGCGCTAGGCGGATCTTTACTTTCATTGCGCCTTTAGGTTTAGTTATGTCCCAATGACTCGCGCACATGCTAGACTCCTTGGTCCGTGTTTCAAGACGGGTCCTGAAATTACCCAAAGCTATAGCGTCGCAGATCGGCGTTTCAAACGAGGTCTGTCCGAGAAATCCGCACGACCAACAGTCGTCCGGGGACGGAACCGGGCGCTAGGTCCGATCGCCGTCTTAGCATCGAACGTGCTTGTCGTGGGTCGGACGCTAATTGAAGAAGTAGCGGCCTCGCGCCATCTGTATACCGTCGAGCGAGTCGGCCGGAACATCGCGGGTTCGAGCACGAATCGCCGAAACGATCGTACACGGACTCCACCGCGAGCCGTAGACCGACACCCAACGGATCGCGACGTCCTACTAGGGGAAAAGTGCACGCGTTCGACGCCGGATCGAAAAGCGAAAGGCGCGGACGACGCGCGAACGCCGTCCGTCGCGCGACCGCTCATCGCCGACGGCCGAAACGCGAATGAATTTCCCCTTTCGACCTTTCGGGTTTCTCAGGTTTACCCCTGAACGGTTTCACGTACTCTTGAACTCTCTCTTCAAAGTGCTTTTCAACTTTCCCTCACGGTACTTGTTCGCTATCGGTCTCGTGGTCATATTTAGCCTTAGATGGAGTTTACCACCCACTTAGGGCTGCACTCTCAAGCAACCCGACTCTGAGGAGAGATCCTCCCGCGATCGGCAGCGGCCACTACGGGCCTGGCACCCTCTATGGGCTGTGGCCCCGTTCAAGAAGGACTTGGACTCGCCGCGCGACCTCGGGATAAACGGATCCTCCCTAACACCACATTTCCCGGCGCCCGATATCGACCGCGGGATTCGGTGCTGGGCTTTTCCCTGTTCGCTCGCAGCTACTGAGGGAATCCTAGTTAGTTTCTTTTCCTCCGCTTAGTAATATGCTTAAATTCAGCGGGTAGTCTCACCTGCTCTGAGGTCGGTTAACAATATACAACACAACACCACACACAGATATAT